ATTAGAGACTATTATAAATTATATTTTGTGACCTCATCTATCAGCTTAAGCTTTTAAGTGAGATGGTTATCTAATATGATATCGAAGCTTGGTTGACCAAGAGGCTTTGAGTTCAAGTCTCGTTATCCTCAATTTTTCAAGTATTAAGCATAAGACGATGTGGATCTATGCAAGTTTCAAACTCAATAAACTTTTAGATAAGATCATCCTTTAATATATACGTTGATCATGATTTTAGCCAAGGGAATAAGTGGGAAGTAAATTGAGTTCAAATTCCATCATTAGATAGTTTGTGTCGATAACTTTTGTAAATCATTACATGTGCTTTTTCCGAACAAAACAAGATGGATTCTTTGTAATAAAAAAACTGGTGTGACTGAAGGAGCACAAAGCAGATTCAAGAGAAGAGGTGAGTACCATTGCAAGTTGTCGTATGGCCCAGTAATAAAAGGAGGGGACCATGACTAATTGGCTTGTTTCTGAAGGAAATCTGAGCAAAATTTGGATCATAGATGCAGTGGTTGATAATATCACTTCTTATAACGATTGACATAGAAATATCAAATGCATTTTCTTTGTGGAAAAAGAAGCTTAAAAGCGACTCCTTCACCTTAGCCAATGCTAAAAATGTGTTTTATAAAAGGGAAAGCAGAAGATAGTGATTTTCGAATTGACATTGAATAGTTTTTGATCCAAGACTGATTAGATGGTAAAAAATCATTCTTTATACAAAAGATTAATGACCAGTATATCCAAATGTGCTTAATAGTTTTAATAGTATTTGACCTAAATATGCTTAATAGTTTTTTTTTTTTTTCCCTCGTAGTTAAAACAAAATATATAATATTATATTGGTTTTAAAGTTAAGAACATTTAGAGTGTTAATCTTTATAGAGTAAGAGGCTGTCTTTTTTCTTGTGTATAACGTATCCTAACGTATATCTGCAAATTGAGGATTACTTTAGAGAAAGTCTGTAAGTATCTAAACAAGTACAATCATGTCAAATAGATGCTTTTTGGAACCATGTTTTCATTAAATATTTGCCATTTGTGTCTAGCCCGAAAAGGAGAAGGAGAGCTCCATTCGAAATGCTGGATCATGATGTCTATACAAAGTTTATCTGGTTGTGGAGTCTTCTATTATCTGAAAGGCAATCCCGACTATGATCGTATTAGAGGCCAAGTGTCCTCTTTATAAACGGAGAGGACATATATTGTATCAGCTTAGTGAAGCCTTCAACAGCACGGTTCAATCTCCACCCCTGCATAATCCACAAGTAAAGCTCAGTAGATCAGCAAGAAATAGATAATTGAAAACGTATTGTTTTAATAAGGCTAATTTACACGACCATTCTGCCACAACTACAATTTCCTATCCATTTTTTAGAAATCAAAATAAGAGATATTTTGCATTTGTACTGATAAAACGGAACACCAGAAAAAAGAATCTAATTTTGCGTTTTTATGAAACGAATATCAACTTGATTCTAGCTTTTTATGCACTTGGCTATATACAGATGAATTTACAAAGAGATTTTACATGTCGAGACTTAAATTCATGCACATACCCTGCCCAGAAGGAAAAGAAAAGACAGTATCAGGATAACCATATAATCATAGTTGCTAGAAGAGTAACATACAGCATATATAAATCCAAGAACTGAACCATTGATCCAATGGCATCCTAATACTGTTTTAACATATACTGTGCTTCCGTATTTCTGCGCTGAGCCACATTATCATTATCTTTTCTTCTGACATTTACAAACTTTACAGATAATAGGTTTAGTTTCCAGGAGACGCCTCACACAGGCAGACAACTTTCAAAGCCAATGTTTCCCATTTCTCTACCCAACTGCCCTAGAGTTTTTACTGCTACACTTCAGTGATACTCGGAATCGAAAAACCTATAACGAAATTATGTCAGAAAACTGAAGGCAAGCACAAAGTCATTTTTGCTTATCTGATAACCGAGTAGAGTACTACATTGATCTGCTGATCACAAATAAAATAAGGCACGCGTAGAAGTTGTTACATGTATTTTAGCTGGTATGATCATTACACAGTGAGAACGACATAAAGGTTTTCGGGTCTTTTGGTAGGAGTATAGGACCAAAGTTGATGCTACCTGGAAATTAGTCCCACAGTGCTTCACGCGACCATCTGTACAGTCTATCATTTGGCCGGTCCAGGAAACTAAAGGATCCATGTGAACTTAGAAGCTGACCTAATTCCCACTTTTGGAATCAAGTATATGCACACGTAACAACTCCAATAGAATAATAATTTGGCCATCTTGACAGAAGTGTAGAATGTTTGAGTACATCATGTGCCCAGCCTGCACATCACAGTTTCTTTTTGGCTTTTCGAATTATATTCTGGAATGAACTCTAGAAATGCTCGTTGGTTAACTTTCAACTTTCTTTAGCATGTATGTCTCCAAGATGTTAATCTAATCTGTATATTAATATATTTCTCCTTTTCATTTTGTAATTCTGACTCTTTGTAGGGAAATTTGTGCATTCAGACCCAGAGTCTACGATAGGAGCTACGGATGCATATAGCCAAAGCTAATAATTTGTCGAAACTGTTTAGAATGCTAAACTAACTTCGCTTAGGAGGGAGGATGTAAGAGTTTGGACTTCAGAGGGATTGAAGAGGTGATCACCTTGTTTGGCAGGATTGATGTACAGTCAAATAAGGAATGGAAAGATCCACCTCTTCTTTCCATCTCCACACTTCATTAATCCTCCATTCTGGAACAAGTGGGCACGATCCATCCTTTCTTTCTTCCAGTCTCCCAACAAACATAGAGTTACAATAGATGATTTTGGCGAAGGGAATAAGTGGCAAGTAAATTGACACTGATGATGTTTCCTTATGGCCAGCCTATAGAACTTTAACATTCGAGGCCAAAGAACATACCATGATGATGACTGGAACCTGGAAAAAAGAAATGGATCCAGAAAGTAAATGGAACAAATGAGAGAACTAGCAAGGCCCAGCTCCCTCTATTTCTTCAATAATACTCCTCTTAGAAGTTTAGCCATCATCCAGGTAAATGTTTGCTTTTGAGCTTGACCGTTTTTGTCAGTTGTAGGTAGACATAAATGTCATACCATAATACACCTCATTAAAAGTTCATATCTAAGTAGTTAAACATACTCGAGCATAACCCCCTGTTTAAAGCACCAAAAAGACTGCAGAACTGAACCTTATCTGTTTAAAGAAATTAAATTCTTTATTAAAAATATAATTGTCAACCGCATACACAACAAAATTCAGTGTAAACTGGCAATATGCATACTCAATAACCTCAAAGATCTCTACCCTGGGCCAACAATTAGCGGTCCTAGACAGGAAAGTATTGCGATGCCTTGTAGTAGCAAGCTTCCCACAGTAGGATAAAATAAACGGCAAGATCGCATACCTCTGGAACCCTTAAATTATTGAGAATGGAAAAGGGGAAATTTTCAACAAATACCTGGTAGATGTTTCAGGAAGAAAACCATAACATAAGTCATGTTTTACTTCTCGGCCCCCATCAAAGGCAACACATGACATCAAGTTGTGAAGTTGTAAAATTCCATGCACTTCAAGATTAAAAATAATGACATGAAATAAGAAAAATTAGTAATTGACATGTATTTAGATATAGCTACAAAGATATTCAAACAGTTAAAGAAACTTTATAACAACACAAGTTTAGGCAAAGAAAATGGCATATCCTAACAACAAAATGCATACTTGAAGAACATATGCAGACCACCAAAGTTAGAGATACGATAAGTAATGCCTATTTAATGTTCTATGGCCACACCCTCCCCCCCAGTAGCTTTTAAAACTTTGGTCATAATACAAAGATGAACCTCTTTTATATACAACTATTATCTCACCTAAAGATTACATATATCAATAGTCACACAAGTAAGGAACTTAATGAATTTACAGAAAATGCATATGAATAATTAGCAAAGGCTGATGCAGGATGCAGCAGAGCTCTCCCTTCATAGAAAAAGAGATCGCAGAGGAGCAAGTCAACAAACAGTGAAAAAGAAAAAAAAGGCAAAGTTTAGGTTCCAATAAAACATTTTGAAGTAAATATTGTCTTTTTTCACAATGAAATGTTTTCCCCCTCTGGCTTTAGTTTCCCTTTTTCAGCCTCTAGTACATCATTAACAAGAAGTTGGAGAATAGCTACCATACTCACAGTGATCTATAATATAGCAAAAAGAAGAAGCCTCTGGCACAGCAAACACTAAACCCGTGTCATATTTGCAGCAGAGAAACACCTGCCAATAAAAGAAGAAATGACTTGGTATTTGACTAAACTGAGCATATGCCTGTAACATACACTTCTATAAACTGGGTTAACTTGCTATGATGTCAAACTGAGTATACCTATAAAGGTGAGTCAATCATGTTAGAATATACCCACAGCACATATATAGGAGAGGACACTCCAATTTCTAGACTTAAAGATATTTCCTTCAAGGTTTTATTGGTTGGAATAAACGCAGTCATAGGAGAAGAGCTAAGTTGTAAGTAGCTTGATAGTTCTTGACTTCTGTTTTTTATAATTTTGGTGTAAAGGAGGTGGATACCCTCTTTTTGGCACCTTGATTGATATGTATTTCTCCTACTAATGAAAGGGGAAAAATATTTGTATTTCCAGATAAATAAAACAACAAAATATTTACAAGGCTGTGCTGTTAGATAAGTGATCAAAATCATCACAGTTAAAAGCACAAGAAGGGAACTAACCCCCAAAAAGCTGTAACCAAGCGACCAGATCCCAACCATTGATATCAATCAACAATCTCCCTTTTGTTATCACGTCCACAGGTTTTGCTTATCGGACCATGCCCTTGCCAAATTTTCTTGTTTCCTGGAATTTTCTCCAACAAATGTAGCAATCGACCAGGCTTCAAGGCATCATTTCAATATCCTGATATTATGCTCTTGCCTTGTTCACAAGCACCAATTGTCATTGCACCAATTCACATCTTCATCTTCATCGTCCCATCACGATATGCATCCTCAAGGTCAGAGTCTGAGGAGCTCACATCCTCAAATTCAGATTCTGAAGAGCCATTTGACTTCTCTTCTTCTTCCTCCCTGCTTTTATATTTAGCTTTTCTTTCTATAATTTTTTTGGAAGATGAAACCTGCCTTCGCAATCGAGAACGTACAATACCACCAACTGATTTTCTTCTCTTCTTCTTACCTTTATTCATAAGATGAATATACCTAAACCTCATTCCCATTAGAGGATGCTTATGCACTAAGAAGTCCTTCCTATAAGCCTCTCTAAGCACCACAGTCTGGGTCCTGATCTTATTGGAAACATAAAAAATCCCTGGGTGATGCACTAAAGCCTTCTTAAATTTATCCCCAAACCCCAAATAATCTCCCAATTGAAGCACATTCTCTTTCTCCGTCTTCTTCGACACTAACAACCATAACATCTCATGTAACACAGCGACAGTCCACTTCTCGGCTTGATCCCCACTGGGATTTAAATGAAAAGCATTTTCATAGGGCGATATGTATGGCAACCCTTGCCATTCGAAAACCCAATCTCTCACTTTCTTCTGTAAATCAAACCCATTTGGGAAATTTAACGGAAACCCAATTCTCTGCCCTCTCTTAACATTACTCAAATCCCCATGTGACACTCTTTTCTCCATTTCAGACACAGCTAATTCATCTCTCCATGAAACCAGCTCTAAAAAGAACAAGTCTTTATCAGTTAAACAATCTTTATCCTCGCAAACATGGAAATATTCTGGATAATCTGATAAAAGGGCAATAATATAATCATGAGGCAAACCCAAATCATACTTGAACCTATCAATAATATGCAAAGGCAATCTTTTTGCCCCAGAAAGCATTAGGAGCTTAGCTAACCTTTTTATGGTGTCATCACGTAAAGGTTGTGACTTGAAAATGAGCTGCTCTTCCTTGTGAAGTGACATAGCTTGATGGGTGAGTTTGATGTGGAAAGGGAGGGAAGGAGAGGGCTGGAATTGACAGAAAACTGTTGGGTATTTATGGAAGAAATTGAGGGCTGTAGTGGGGAGATTGAGGTACGGTTTTAGAAGGGAAAGAGAGGAAAGAGGAAGGGATGTTGAGGGAGAGGAAATGATTTGGTTCTTGAAAGAAATTACTTGTTTTAAGTCTTTTTCTTTGGAAACAGCCGTGTCAAGGTAAGGATCACAGACCCATTTGATCCTGGCAGCTATGAAAGTCCGGGTCTGATGGAGTTGGTGTGGGAATTTGGTGCTGTAGAGAGGCATCATCGTCTCTCATGGATGGAACTGGTGCTGCTGTGTTCAAGGGTTGTGGAAGTGGGAGTGAAGAAGGAAATGGGGATGGGTTGTTTCTAGTGATTGATGGACTTAGCCCAATGGGTTAGTTTCTCTTCGACTAGGCTCAATTTCATGGGCCTGTCTATTTTATATAGAGTAAATTATAAATCAGTCCCTCTATTTTTAAGAAACGAATTAATTAGTTATACTATTTTGAAAAACTAGTTATTTATCTACTTATAAATATTGATCACGATTAATTTAATATTTATAAATTTTTTTATAAAAGTCGTGTTTTTTTTTATTATCAATCTTTCAGTATATTTTAATTATTCTTTTCTTTTCTATTTATGCAAATAAAGAATAAGAAATTGAAAAGACCCAAAACTATTAATTTATATGAAAATTTAAAAATATAAAAATTGAATAACTATTTTTTAAAACAAAAAGATTAATTAATTTTTTTAAACTAAGAGGATTAATTTATCATTTACTCGTTCAATATGCCTTTTTCCAATTGGGAAAACAAAAATAAAAAATCATTTTTCACTATAAAGTATTATAACTCATAGTTCTGGAAGGTTAAATGGGTGAAACTTTTCTTGAACTTTTACTTATTTGAAATTGAGTTTTAAATTTTAAATTTAGTTTTTGAGATTTTTGAATTTTAAATTTTTTATAAAATTTAATCCATCTAATGATTTTATGCTATTACTCTTTCAACTAAAACATTCAATTATTAGCATTTTGAGCTAAAATTTTACACATGTATTAAAAAAAAAGTTCAATCTATTTTCTAGAAAAATTCTAGAATTTTTTAAAATTTAAAAAGTATATTTGCTTATTTTTTAACATTAAAAATATAGAAAATCAAGGAAAAAAATCCAAAATGATCCTAATTTTTTAAAAAAGTTTATATAAATTTCACTGAATGATTTTCATCTTAAAACTATCTATGTAATTGTTATTTTTTAGAATAAATTATAAAAGTTGAAGAATTAATTAAATTTAAAAAATTAAAATGTCAAGAATCCAAAAATTAAATTTGAAGTTCAAAAACTCTATTATAAATGAGTTAGGGTTGAGGAAAAGTTCAACCCATTTAACTGATTTAACAAAACTAATTAATTATTACCAGAAGCTTAAGTTATAAATTAGGATCGAGAATTAGTTAAAGAGAATGATTTTTTATTTTTTCCAGAGTTCTTCTCTCTAATGGTTAGGAGTGAATTATAAATTAGTCCTTATAGTTTTAAGAAATAAATTAATTAATCTCTATTGTTTCAAAAACTAATTAATTAGTTTTATTAAGGACTAATATATAATTTAGCTCCAAATGACAAGCTTAAGTTGTTCTCATTTCTCTTGCTTTGCTTCCACTCTACAAAACAAAGCAACCCTTGCGTCTCTCCTCCAATCTCCACAGCCTCGAAAATCTAGAAATGGGAGAAGCTGACAGAGGTTTATCCTCATCATCGTTATTATCGCATGACTACGACGAGCTTCTCTTCAAACCTTCGTCTTTTTTTCCAATCTCTCATAACTATCTCCTCCTCCTCCTCCTCGCATTTCTCGTCTTTCTCTACAATTTTCTGGAGCTTCATTTCCTCTCTGATTTGCTCACTGCCTTCCGAGGCGATCCTGTGTCTCTCACCTACAATTCCCGCTCTCAACTCTACCAATCCGTTGCTTCCAAGTGCCATATCATCCACGGAAGGTTTTCGCCTACGCCATGGCTGTCAAGTCCTCATCTCCAAACAGCTTTCTTGAGTCTTGTTGGAAAATCTCCTCATGTTACCTACAAAAGGTGATTTGTCTCTCGTTCATCTTCGTCTTATCTCTTTTTACTTTTGAATTTTCTGCAAGCCCTAATTTAATAATTTGTACTCGGCAGACGCATATTCTATGCTAGTGATGGCGGAACGATTGCTTTGGACTGGCTAATGTCTTCTGATGGTTAGTATAAATTACAAATTTTGGTCACAAGTAATAAAACTAGCAGAATCTTGAAGAAAACGTTGAGGCAGGACAACTAACTAGAAAATGCAAATGACTTCCACTATCTTTGACTAGAAAAGACTTCAAGGTCTAAATTAGGTTCCATTTTCAATTTGATGAAATAGTTCGCGATGTATTTGATCTTGTTTTTTGTTTACCGGTAGAGATGAGCTAATGTAACCCCAAGTAGCTAGGATTACTGCTAGGTTGAGTGCATCTTTTAGCTACTATTGTATGCTGACATTACCTTGGAGTTCGCCAAAATATTATTTGTTGAAAAGGAACTTGAATTTAATATATCCTCCATACAGAGATGTATCGTTTTGATTATGTTAACTTATAACTTTTGGTCGAGTTGTGCATATCATTTCTGATTGGAATGATGATATCTCTTGAATTTAACATGTGTATTCTATATTTTTGCTGCTTCACTTGTTCTTTGTTATTGTTTAAATCTAATTTTTACTTTCTAATTCACAGTTAAAGGTACTTCCTGCATAAATGATGCAGCTCGACAAAATGATAAAGCTCCGATTGTGATAGTGATTCCTGGCTTAACAAGTGACTCTAGTTCTTCTGTAAGTCCCTTTTATCATTTTGAAATGGAAGTTTTTGCTTTTTCACGTAGTTGGTACCTTCTGCTGGAGATTCCTTTCCTCCATGCATTTGTCCCCCAAGCAAAACCTCAGTTGATCTAAGTGGAAGTAACTTATGAAAGTCCTTTTCGATGCTGCCTTTTTTGGTTGCATTGAAGATAGACAACCTAAAGTAATTGTTGTCCCTTTTGAATTTTTTTTTCCTGTGGTTAGTAGGCTTTTCCTTTCTCCTTTTAAATATCTCATGGAATTTTACGGTGCAACAGTATATAAAGCATCTTGCAGACAAGATAGCAAAGCATGGCTGGAATGTTGTTGTAAGCAATCATCGCGGACTTGGAGGCATATCAGTTACTGTGAGTGTTAAATATTTATATGCAAGCTTTTGATTTCTAATAAAGCAACTTTTCCTTTTCATTTTGCAGTGAGCACCTCTCTCTTTGTGTTCCCTTTTTTGAATATTATACATAAGGGTTTCTTTGTGTTCCCTTTTTTGAATATTATACATAAGGGTTTTCATTCATTAAGAAGTCATTGCATTTAGTGTGAATGCTTGATATCATCCAAACAAGGTTTTTGAAGAAGTAGAAAAACAAATACGGAAGAGGGGTACAGGGTAGTTAATTGTATCATGGCTTGGAAATTGGGGAAGAGGCATTGTGAGAATCTTTGAAGGATTTGATGGATCAGTTAAACCAAATTGAAAATCTTGTGAAGTTTGTTCTTTTGGTTTTCTTTTTTCACAAGTTAAATTCTTGGCATATCTTTTAGATGTAGTTAAGTATTGGATTCTTCGACTTTCCTTCTCTCTTACTCTCTCTGTTTTTCTTTTTTTATTTTTTTTTATTCTACCAATGTATGATAGAGTTTGGGTTAAACCAAGAGCTTACAGGTTAGAGAAAAAGAGTAGTGTTTTGATTTAAAATTGTTTTAGAGATGGGACTCTCTCTAGGTTTTCCTTCATTAGACCTTGTTTCAGTGAAACAAAAACTGGGCAAAATAACTATAAGTTTATGAAAAAGCATCAGACATGCTGTGCTTCATGCCTACTTGGAGAGATAATCAAAATCCAAATACAAGAATGGCTTACTCTGTTAAATATTTTTCTGCGAAGCAAGTTGTCACAGTTTAAAATACTAGAACGGAAGAAGGCAATTTAGAAAAAGCTTTTCAAGTTAAAACGCAAATGGCTCACTCTGAGTAAAAGAAATATACTGCTAAGATGGAGGAAGTTCTTTTCATTTTTTCAAGATAATTCTGAATGTGCTCATCCACAGACTTGGATACTTATGAGTTTGTTGTTTCTTTGTTTAAAGGGGATTTTATATATGTTATTTTGTAAATGAATAGAGAACTTAATGAGTATCTTGTTATTCAGAGGATATTCTTCTTTGCATAATTGTGACTGCTTTCCCTTTTTAGGTTGCTTGATTATGTTCTTGTAAATGTTAAACTTTGATGTGTGTTTTGATCTGCATCAAAGTTTGTTCGGACATTTCTCATGGTCTGTACTTAATGCAATAAATCATTAACTAACAAGGTCTTTTGTCATAAATATATATGGTCAGTCTGATTGCTTCTACAATGCTGGGTGGACAGAGGACATACGGAAGGTCATTGATCATATTCAGTGTCAATATCCTGAAGCGCCTTTATATGCTGTTGGAACTAGTATTGGTGCAAATATTTTGGTATGCAAATTCTCTTCATCCTTTTTTCCCTGCTTGCAAAGTAGTATGTGTATTTTTGATCTTGAAGGCATCGAATTGTCATCTTAATAAACTACCTTCCTGATGAGATTTTTATACATGTCATCTTTAACCTGCAGCATGTCCATGTTGCTTCATGGTTTATAATGCCAATGCCTCCCAGTAGATATTGGCAAATGGATTATGACTCTGTCAAATTCCGAATGAGTGATTTGTCCAGTCTGGAGGATAAACTCTAACCATACTTATTTATGGGGTTTGTTAGGCTAGATCACACCATTAGTAGGATTCTTTTTTATGCAAATTAGTGAGGTGTATGAAAGAAATTGCTTTGTGTAGAGTTGAAACTTTGAAGCCAAGTGATCTGTTGTTAAACATTACTTGTTCCAGGTGAAATATCTTGGAGAAGATGGGATTAACTGTCCTCTTGTCGGAGCTGCGGCTGTCTGCTCTCCTTGGGATCTTTTGGTAAGTGCTTCATCTATATTCACATGTTATGGGAGGAGAAATTCTTGGCATTTATCTATTGCAATGCCAAATTAGGTACCTTGTTGTTTCATCTGCACATCTTGATTTTTTAAAATGTGACCTATTGCAATTTATATATCCTGATTTTCCCTAGCAACGAAGATCATAATGTGACCAGAAAATGTTAAGGGTAGACAGTGATATAGTGGGGCTCCAACATCCAATTTCGGCAATAGTGAATGGTAGAAACTAAAAACTCTTTCGCAGAGGGAGAAAACATCTTCATTCTCTTTTGCTTTATTTTCTTGAGAAAAATGCCTAACGCGCATCTAAATCACCTTTTACTAAGATCAGTGTAGCCCTATGTAAACCTAGGGCAATAGCATGATGAACCAAGAAGTCTCCAGGCCCTATTGTTAAGAATAATGAATTCCTATTTTCATTAATAACATTTAACCAGCCGAGCAACCATATGCTTCGACCTGCATTGCAGGCTGGACTATTCATTGAAGATAAAAGTACATTGAACCCACATGAAGTTTTACCATGAGCGGATTGTATCCATTGGGAAAATATGGGTTTGATCAAGATTTGTTTCTCTAGAGTACCAAAAGCAAGCATGACATCATTATATTGATATGATACTTAAAAGAAAAGACACCTACTTTTTCTGGTGAATGTTATTTTGAATGGAAAAGTTAACTCTAATTATGAAATTCCTTCATTGAAAGTCAGAATACAACTTTGGAAGAAATTAGAAGAGAATTGTTTTAAGAAAATTGGTAGAAAAGACATCAGGATTGATATCAAGTATCTTTAGTTCGGACTGGTCTGGACAGGTTCAGCTAAATCAGAAGTTCAATAAATTGCTTTCTTATTGAATCATAGTTCAATAAATTATTACTATCCTTGTTAAATTTCTTAGGGTGAGGGCAGTTTTAAATTAGAAACTCAATATATGGCTTCCTTATTGGATTAACTAGTTAATAAGTTACTAATATCCTTGTTTTAGTTCTTGTCTTTAGGGAGTTTTAATGTTTTCTTCTCATGTTGTGTATTAGTTTTATATAATCTGCTTATAGAACTAATCTGCCAAATTGAAATTATTTGAAGTCCCTCTATGGTTGCTTTGCAGATATGTGACAGGTTTATCAATCGCAGGCTTGTGCAGAAATTCTATGACAAAGTGCTAACAGTTGGCCTACAAGGTTTTGCACAATTGTATGTCTCCATCACTTCTTTGCTAATTTTTCTGACAATGAACTTTTTTAGCTTAGTGATGCTGTGCAAACTCCACTTGATCACTTCAAGATTATGATTTGACCCTGTGTTTTCAATTTTTCAGGCTTTTTAGGTTTTTTATTCAAGATCTAACCTGTATTGTACTGCAGGCATGAGTCTATCTTGTCTCGTCTTATAGATTGGGATGGTGTAAAAAAGGTACCCCCTCTGTCCCACAAAAAGTGTCCTTATTTTGTTGCCGTAATGCAATGTCTATTCCCAAATTGTCAAAGGATTAGTTATGTTACTTAAATACTTTGACTCATTAAAAATTAAATTTATATTCTTTTTTTTAATTGTATTTAATTTGGAACGATAATGTAGTAAATGCTGTAAAAAAATAAATGAGTTGGCACAACATTTGTAGACTTTTTTTTTTAATGTGTGAATAGTCAAACAGGACAACTGTGAGATGGAGGAAGTGCCTTCTTTTTATTTCTTTCTTAAACTCCACTTAAAGTAAATATATGAAGTCGGTTGTTGAGGTAGTGAAAAATACCATTACATGTGCTTTTAGAAGCAACCCCTTTTTTAACCATAAAAGGGATGAAATATATATTATTAGTTTTCTAAATCTTCTTTTTTACTTGTAGAGGTATGTATGTACTTCTGCATGCATAAAACGTGGAGCAATCTATACATTAATTGCAAACACAGACTTACAAATTTCATTTGGTTCAGCTCATTATGTTTTAGATCCATGCCAAACACATGGGATGCTATTTACTAAACTTAATAGTTAAGACATAAAGAGATTTAGGAAAAATACATAAACTTTGAATCATATTGCTTTTGTATTCATCTCCTAATATTTGAGAAGTAGATGTGTTGTTATGGCATTTCAAAATATTGAGTGTTACTGCAATTTGGTTTAAACAACAAAACTAGCCAAGAGAGTTGAGAACAGAATAGATGAACTGTGCAAACAGATTTATGTGGTTTGGTTTGAAGCCTACATCACAGGCAAAGATGAAACAGAGATTTCATTGTGTTAAAGAAGGTCAAACAGGATAAGACATAATGTACAATGTTTTTCGAAATCACTGAAACCAAATGCAATGATAAGTACAAGTTGTAGATAAATTGCAACAAGGAGCATAAAGATAAGCCCAATCTCAAATTAGATCCAAACACTTTGCTACCACAACGTGCAAAAGTCCTATTCAAACTTTTTCTTAACTTGTATACTTAGACCTTGGAGTCTGTTGGATCCAGAAGATCAAGTTACAACTAGCATAAAGACTATTAAAATCACTTATGTTTGTTGCTCTTTACTCCATCTCTTAAGGAGAGTATACACTGTACCAAACATTTCATTTAAAAACTTCTTCAAATATCAAAAGAGATTTTATCAAGATGTATTAAATAATTAAGAATCACCCTGAGTCACTAGTATTAAGGGTAAATTACAGAGAAATACTCTGTGGTTAGGCCATTTTCCATCTTCGTGACAAAGGTTCTTTTTGTGGAACTTGAATGAGTTTTGATTTGTTCTGTTACCATTGTCCTTAAATCTGTTACTGTTAGTAAATATATTTTTACCCTATGTTTAACAATATTTTCAAAGTGTTGGGGGTGCAATCAGTGATTTTAGCAAGTGTCACTGAAAGCAAACGAAAAAATTCCCTTTGTCTTGTTTTATTATAGTGTTATGGATATATTGGTAACCACTTTTGTCAATGTCACCAAAGAGCATAAGTTGTTTTGCCTCTTTATGATATGTTTGTTACAAGGGTGATGGGGTTAAAAATTACCCTTGTGCTTTTAACTATGATTGTTGCCATTTTTTCAAGGAGCTTAATTATTGAAGGGGCTACTTAATACCTCCCAAGTTGGTGTTTTTTGGAGGGTAAATTTTACTTGCTCTCCAAGCAAATATTATTCTCTCTCTCTCTCTCTCTCCCTCTCTTTTTGTCTCAAAAGACTCCAAATGATTTTTATCTCTCTCACCAATCATAGCTAGTAATTTAATTCCTTTCTCTCTCATTCTCTACTAACAATTCACCCTATAATTTTTTAACACACCAAACAACCTTAGAAACTAACTTTTACACTCTTTAACAATTCCTCATTTAATTAATATTCTTGTAAAAATCCCCCCTTATTTTTTAACCTTGTACCAAATGCCACTTTAATGTTGCTATTGGAGTTCAGCAGTCAGTACACTGCTAATGGAGCAAAGCACAAGTCAGTTAAGTGCAAATGAATAAATGTTTCTCATTGAAATGCAATATAACCAAGCCATGGGAGTTGCATTTCCCCCTAGTTTAATCTATGGGATATATTGGATTACCATACGTTCATCTTTTGAGGGATGCTGATTAATGAGATGTTGTATTGTACCTCTTTACGTTCACATGTCCTCATCATTTGTCAATTAAATCACATTATGAAACTGCATAAAATAGTTGCTTATTGCCACTGTTGCTTTTGAAGTGAGCCTGCATTGGAAAGTGGAAAGAGCCTATATCTATATAATATAACACTGTCCAAAATGATGGATTAGATATGTTTCAACCAACTTATGGTTCTACTTATTTTTAACAAAATTCGTTAGGTTGTTACATGCTCCTTAACAATCCATTGATATGTTGACATGTAAAGATGAAAACTTAATCAGAGGACTGTATCGGTGAAGCAAATGCCTTGCTTTTAAAGAATCTGGTTTTTCCTTTGTGCGACAGTCACGTTCTGTTCGAGACTTCGACAACTATGCTACCCGTGTTCTTGGAAAATTTGAGGTGAAAGCTGTTGATTGATCCTCATTTCACCAAAGTGATTGTCATCCTTTGTGATTGACTAAAAGCATTGTTCTTTTCCTCAGACTGTTGATGCATATTACAGGCATTCTAGTTGTGTGAATTTTGTGGGAAATGTATCAGTGCCTCTTCTGTGCATCAGTGCAATGGACGATCCAGTTTGTACTAGGGAGGCCATCCCATGGGATGAATGTAGGTAGGGAATCAGCTTTTTTACTTTTCTTCTTTCTTTGAACATTTGAGCGTGTGATTCTTTTCTTTATTTATGGCATTACTTGAATACTCAACTTGGATGTCCTTATTCCACTACCTCCATTGTAGCAGCCCCTGGCCATTTGTTGTCTTTCCTAAAACTGCCCCAAGCGGATATCTACTAACTACAGATGGGGTTGTGGTAGGCACAGAAACTGTATAAAAGTTCTAGTCACATTTTCCAGTGAAACAGAGGCAAAATGTTTATCAGGAAGCTAAAATTATTTTTGTTGACTAACTAATGCATGGTCATTTTTAGAACTGTTTAATTACCATATTCCCTAGAATTTATGTGGCACCACAACTAAAATGCTTTAGTTATAACATGAAGGGATTTTGAATGCATGCTGACTTCTTCTCAGTTAGCTGAGTGTTCTCGAGAGCTTTGTTATTTCACATCAGGAGTTCTCACAAAGAATAGAACACTTGCTGTCGAAACTGATAAGCAATCAGAGTGATTGATGGACTTTAAATGCACGTATAGTCTGAAAGAACTAGGTAGATAATGCTTACCGTAATGCATTCGAACATGCCACAGCATGAACCATGGTTAAAGATTTAGAGACGATTAACAGTATGTGAATAGCATACCAAATGTATGAATTTTAAATTTTCATAACTGACAAGTCTAGCTGTCACCACTATACTTTGAAGCTCATGATGTCACCCTTTCAGCAATTTTTTTAATCTATGTGATACTAAACTGATTGATTCTTATAGGGCAAACGAAAATATTATCCTCGCTGTCACACAGCACGGAGGACACCTTGCTTATTATGAGGGGATATCTGCGGATAGCATTTGGTAACTACTGTCTTCCTCTTTTGGCATGCCTGACAGTTTTTTATTATCAAACATGCATAGACATCTGCAAAATAAATGAAGATGTCAGGGTCTGCAGTAGTCATACAGGGGGTTCAGAGTGACCATTTTACCATCTACTAAGGGCTTGCCTTTTGTTGTGTGCGTGCGTATTTATTTCATTTTTGAGTCATTGCATTAGATATTATCTAGGCTTACATGCTAACATTCTTTTTCTTGGATGATAATCAACAATAGTTCATCATGTATAGCAGTTACTATATGATTCTCATTTGGTCTCTTGGTAAACTTGGATTGGATGGTTTTCTTCATTTCCTTGCAGGTGGGTGAGAGCGGTTGATGAATTCTTTGATGTCTTGCAGTCTAGTCCATTAAGAAACAGAAGAAAGAAGGTGCAAAATGGTTTGCTAATGATTTGCAGTAGATTCATATAAATTAGTACACACATTTTAACACACAAAGAAGCACAAGGTCATACCACATTTATACTCAAAGCACCATAGTAGAGCACATTGCTAGATCTTATTGAAGCATGAAGTAGAGATATTTTCCTGATGTTACTTCTGCTTGTTAAGGTTCACATTTCAAACATAGATGGAGAAATTTCCATTATTTGGTTGTGAAAGCCAAATGTTTTAGCAATTATAATTTATAACCTATCTTTGTGAGTTAAAATTCCTGGGAAAGAGCTTATGTTTTTGAAATTTTGAATAAAAGATCAGCTGTTTCCAATTTCCAGTCATTTGATCAACTGTCACCAGTTATTTTCATCTTGTGTCAAATATTCCCACGCAAGCATTGCAAGGAGACAACTTATTCTAGTCCAACTGTCAAGTTTCCAGGAAGTTGAAATGTTTTTATTTGTTTGTCTTTCAGGTGGAAGGGCCTAGCTTGTCCACTCCATTGGAGTCCCCAATTGATCAAGGACCTTATGTGAATGTTTTGGAAGACGGGATGGTGACTGTTGTTGGTAACAGTCAAGAAGATATCATAGCAGAAGACGAACGCAATGAAGATTTGGACCACATTAAGAAGAGTGAAGATGCCATTCTGCATGATGAAAAAAGTGATCATTTAACAGAGAAAACTCCTCCTAAAATTGACCTCAACCAGCCATTGGATCAGAATCTCAATGATTTAGTTGTTCCTGTTAGAAGGCAGATGGATCAGCTTTCACGACTGAGTAGAAACTCGATCTGGCTTCTCACTTACATTGCTATCGTAACAACATGGCCCCTTGTGGGTTCTGCACTTCTTCCTTTCCTCAAGAAAAAATTCAGAAGCATCATACCATCGGCTTCGCGCATAAGATAGCACTCTGTGTGGGTAATCATAATTTTATACCATATGGTATGATAGTCTTTCTTGATGAATGTAGAAACGTGACGAATTATTCTCTTGTGAAAGCAAAGGAAAGGTGATAAACTACACCGGTAAAATCGACCTTCGTGGTGAAGAATAATAAAAGAATTCAAAAACTGTAATACCAAAAACACAGGTCAGCTTTATCCTGTCACAAGTTTGGAAGAAGCTTGGATTGGCAATTGCCGTAAGGGTTAAATATTTATATATATTATTATTTACTTGAAACTGTATTTGCTAGGAAATAAAAAACCATGAATAATGAATTCTATTTCTGGAAAACTGTATTTTCTAATTTTTTTTTTATCTTTATTATTTTCGTTATTTTAAAAGTAAGTCAAACAAGGTTGTTTTTCATTTTGGAAAATTTCTATAATAAATATGTTTCCTTGAAATTCTGTAGAGAAATAATTTTAGAATAAAATCAGAGAATTAAAGATGTAAACTAAAAAATTATTTTCTGAAGCTTAAAAGTAAACATGACCTATGGAGTTTCCAAAACCAACAAGTAATAAATTAAGAAATGGTTACCAATAAGTTTAGTTTTAGGAAGTAAAAGACCAATGAATAAAAGTGAGTTTACCTTTTGAATTCTTTTCCCAAAAAGATTCAATTTCTTAGGGTAAATTTCAATTTGCTCCTCTAGGTTTATGTATTTTCTCAATTTTAATTAAAATCTTTGATTTGTTTAAATTAGATCCCGAATCTTTCATTTTTGTTCCACTTTGGGTAAATTTCAATCTGTCACCAAAGTTTATGGAATATCTCAATAGAATCCACAAGGTAAGAATAAAAAAATTGAAATTGAAATAATCATTAAAGAAAACATTTTTTTTTTCAATAAAACATATATATATATATATATATATGATAAAAAAATATTAACTACCATTGTCGTCATTTATATTTTTCATTAAAATCTTAAACAAGAATTTTGAATAGGAAAAAAATTGAAATTCCATATGAAGGGAATGGTAACTTGAATATAGGACAATATTAATTACATTTGATTTGTGCGAAAAAAAAAAAAAAATGAGGCACACCAAGTTGAGAGATCACAATGATGAAAGTTTTGACGAAAAAAATTAAATGAGAGAGTTAACTTGAGATTTGAAATTGGTAAGATTTGAAAATTTTATCATATTTGTCTAATATTTATATTTTTTTTTCTATTGATTTTTTGTTTTTATTTTTGTTAATTTCAATTAGTTTAATTTTTTTCCTTACTTTTTTTTTTTTTTTTATAATATTGAGATATTTTATAAAATTCAGTGATGAAATTGAAATTTACATATATGATGAAATTGGGCAGAGGGGGGAATTAAAACAAAAGTGAAAAAATGTGATGGTTTATTGAAATAAAAAATAAAAATATGGATTATAATTGAAATCAATCAAACATTTTATGTGAAATAAGTTCTGTTATACATTTATAACATGGAAAACTCACTCGAGCTCGTATTCTTTTCCCCAGAAGTAACCCTCTCCTACCTTCTTGAGTAGTCTTCTGTATACAACCACTATGCATCCTTTATTTTTAATTTTTTTTAAAATAAAACAATACATTAATTAACACATAAATTAATTAAGGGCATAAATTATTAGACTGTAAAGAAAGACCACTAGAACAAAATGTATAACAAGTGGGGTGACCATACCACACTAACAAACAGTACACTAGCTTCTATTTTTGAGATTACAGAAGAATTTGATCTTCCTTACCATAGTAGCAGTTCAAGAAATGTCCTTGAAATATAGAACACTCCGTGCACAGGATACAATGTTAACATTTGCGAAAAAGGATGAGCATCAAATTTCGGTTTATGCCGGATTTTATTGCATAGGTGCATAGCCGTTATGTGAACCACAAGGAAAACCATCTTGACAAATCAAAAGGTCCTTGTATTGCTATATAGCCCATAAGGCTTCAAGTTCTAATGTGATCTATAAAAAAAGAAATCGTGTTTCCAAAATGTTTCATTTTGGTGCATCCAAACCCTCAAAGATGGGGGTAGTGTTGTAGACTAGCTAAAATATAACTGGAACAACTAAAGTAGCATGAGAGAACAAAGTCCAAAAACCTAGGGAAGGCAAGGAAACACAACTACAATCATCACAAGACTGCGGGAAGAAGAATTAATAAGAGGTAAGTTCCAGAATGCTCACTGATGGAAATCTAAAAGCTAGTGACCCCGGGTCATCTTTACTTTTGGCATTGCCTTCTTCATCTGACGAGCACGCTCCTTTTCTTCTCTCTTGCGAATTGCCTCTGCACTGAGCTTTGCTTCAGCCTCCTCTAACATCTTTTTCCTCTCTGCCTTCTTCTTCTGTAAAGCTTCCTGTCTTGCATTTTGAAGTTCTTTGTATGACTCTTGGGCAGCTTTTGCTCTAGCTGCATCTGTTTTAGAACGAGCCTGCAGTACAGCAAAACACAGTTTTAAAACTATCTAAATTTATAAAATCTTAAATTAGACTACAAAAGACGATCAAAATTCAACTCACCTGTGAACTCAGCTTGTAGCGCCCAATTAGATCAATGTAATAAGGTACCAGAGCCACCAACCGGGTCATGTCAGCCATGTTGTTGGCATCAGGAAGGGCAAACTTGAACAATAGCATCTTCTTGTGTGTGCCAGGGAGTTGATCAGAGAAATGCATTGAGATGAAGCCCTTGCCATATTTCTCAAATGATTTCTCACCAAAAACCTGCACATTTTAAATAGCAAGGAGATAACACAATGCTGGTACAGCTGATCAACACTCCAAACATCACACCAATTGTTTAATTAAAGTCAGACATTCAAGGACAGATTTTACATATAAAGAAATCAGACATGATCCAAATATTCCAATAGACCGGGAGAATAAATCTAAGGTTGAGCATCAAATGACAGATTGCACATACAAACCAATCAGAGATAACATAATAAATCTCATGGAATGGACTAGCCTATATATATCATCGAAAATTAAATCTAAGTGTGTACTACTAGGCCTAAGAAGCACCACAAATAAAACAGCTAGACAAAGAACAGATACAGGGGAATTCTAATGAGACACTTGCAATGCAATAAAGCTTGCAAAAAGAAACAGCATTTGGGTCACATAAGACCTAAAGAGGAATTTGGCTTTGTTAAAAAACCAATTTTCCATCTACTGGTCTCTCATATAGAAATTCAGTCAAAAGTCTAGTCAGATACAGCAGCCTTTTATGGACTTTACAGCAGCCATCAAATTTCCAACTGGCACAAATTTGCTTCATAATGCTCCATTTTCCGATCCAACCCCACAAAATAATTATGGGAAAGGCCACTTAATGGTGGGGCTGGCATTAAAATTTGAATTCAATATGATTGTGGTTATGGTAAGAAATTTCCAAGCTGAAATGGATTTTGAAAATGCTGAGCCAGAGTAAGAAATGAGATTTTTCTTCTGCTCAGTCAGTGCCTCATCGGTATTAACACCATCCACACCACATCCAAATATGTCCCAAGCACTTAAAGTGCTCATGCTAACAGATAATAATTAAAAAAAAAAAAAAAAGGAAACGTGGAATGATAAAGGCTCTATACTAATCCTAGACATCAAATTATCTGAAAAACATAGTAAACATCGATATATGCAATCTTTTTAACTCTATATACATCCACATCAATCCAAGTCTGGCAATAGAACTTAAGAATCGGAAAAAGGATAAAGTTACACAACAGTCATCAAAAGTCCAAAGTTTTTCACAACTACACCCATCCATATCAATCTAACTCATGGCTATTATTAGGATAAAAGAAAGACTTCAGTGCATTAGAATACAGAGATAATCCCCTTGGTCCCTGTCCAAAAATGTGATAAAAATCCCTAATTTCATCACACACCCCAGAGGAACCACAACTTTAGAGTTAGTGTTGAAGCTGGACATATTTTTTCAGGGGGGACATTGTTTCATGGATAAGAACAAGAAAATTAGAGGGGGGTGGTGTTAATGTATTTTTATTTGGAAATATATGAAAAATGGGAAAGTATAACAACTATAGTGGGAAGTATAAAAAATTATAGAGGGCAATTGCCCCCATTTCCTAATACCTAGCTTTGCCACTGTTTAAAGGCACAAAATTCGACTTCTGCAGGTCAAGGCCCTCATAATGAGGAAAATGCAACCACACAGGCACCTGAAATGAGTATCAGAAGGCCATGATGTAAAAGTGCAGTTTTGCTCCTTGCCATGTGATTTGGAGTTGTAACTCCAAGCACTCAACAACATTTCAAGCTTTCGTAACAAACACCAAACCAAATAAAAAAATGGTTTGTAGTGCATTTAGATTCTAATTACGCTAATGACATCACTAAGATTCATGGAGGGATATGTCAACCTCAAGCAAAAGGACATTAAAAGGAAACTAGAGAAAGAAAACATCAAAAACAGCACTTTGATTTTCCGCTTAAAAGCAACAATTACAAAATAATGCAGTAAATATGATCATTTAATCATCACCATAATTTGCTAATGACACCACTAAGATTCATGGCAGGGACATGCTCCCCAAAAGCGTAGAAACATTCCCCCAGCGGATTGCAACATTAAAAAGCAACCGAAAAAAGAAAACCCCAAAAACAGTGCTTTGGTCTTCCTCTTTAAAGAAAGAGCTACAAAATAATGCAGTAGGTATGATCATTTAACCATCATCATATCCAAATTATCTAGATTCTGTGCATTAATATATATATATATGAAAAGAGAGCCTCACCACTGGAGCCTTATACAAAAACTAAATCAAACTAATTCTCTCCAGACCATCAAAACTACCTGTGGGTTCAATATACACATTCTTGCCATAGTAGCCTTTTATCAAAAACCAAAAACGATATCAACAACATCAATAAAAAAATTCACAAAAAAAAAAAAAAAAACCCAAACCCAAACCCAACAAAGCAAACCATCAGTTCACTACCAGAATGCTCAAAATCATATCAAACCAAGAACCAAAAAATAAAAAATTCAGACATAATCCAACCTGCTCAAGTACAGCCTCAGTGATCAAATCCCCAGCAACCTCCTTAGACTCAGAAATAACAGCCAACTCCTCAGCCACCCATTTCCTCCCACTAGGAGCCTGTGCAACAATCCCCGCGAACCTCTGCAAATCCCTCAATTCCTTCTGCATTGCTTTTGCCATCTTCTTCCTCGCCAATGCAAAAATCACATGGTCCATCGCATCATCATTCATATAAACTTCAATACTAATCTCATCCTTACATGGGACTACCATATTATATATCCTAGACAACAAATCATGCCTACTCTTCAACTCCATTGTCGCCAACAGCCCTTGACAATACCTCCGCCCACTCGCATAGAATTTAAACACATTCTGCCCTTCTTTCAACAATAAAGGGGAATCATCGCCTTCTCCCACACCTAAAAGACTAAAATTCTTCTCGAAAATCGAATCTCTCGTTGCAAATTTCGCAGCCCAAGATAATGCTAAGTTCTCATTCTCTTTTTTACCAGTGAAGTAATTGATCACAAACATGATCAAGAAACTTACACATACAATCTCCACCAGGTAGGACTGTTTCTTTTTCGAAATGGTGGTGGGTTTGATTTCTGGAGTTTGGACAGTGGCATCAGGAGTTGTAGATTCGGTAATTAACAAAGATTCGGTTGGGGGTTGATGAGAAGGGATTCCTTCGAATTCATCTTCATCCCAGTACTCGAAGTTGGTTGTTGAAGGTGGGGAGGAGGGTTTGGTGGGTTCCGGATCCGGGTCTTTAGGATCGGGTGTTGGAGTTGAGATGGGAGGTGACTCGGACTGAGTTAAAGGGAGATCGGTGAGTTTGAAAGTGTTAGGATCTATAGTTTCCTCGACGAGGTCGTCATCTTCTTCAGCTTCGAATCCTTCGAAGTGGGAATCCGCGACGGCATGATAAGAGTGGGAGAAGAGGAGAAGTAAGAGAGGGAGGAAGTAGAGAAGGGAAACGGGTCGGGTCATGATGGATTATCGGGCTTCTATTTTTCAATTTTAGAAAGAAGAGGGAGCAGAAGTGAGAGAAGGTGATGCAGAGACAGTCATTGGAAGAAGGCAGTGAATAGGGGAGAGCGATTCAATAAGAAAGAAATTCAGATCAAAACTTTGTAAAGGTCCCCCAACTAAAGCGGTAGTTTTGAGTTAGTCCCCAAACAATTTCTTATCTCAATTAAATCTTCTAATCATTAAAAAATAATCTAATTTTTTGTCAAAACTCAAGACAAATTTATAACATCAAATTCCCTACAAATCATATGAAGATATATACTAAATATACACATATGTTTGATTTGCAAAAAATATAGGTAAAGCCTAATTATCCCAAATCCAAACACAAAATTGAGAAATTCATGTATGGGGTCATGAGGACTAACATGAATACAAAAAGTATTATGAATTTAATTTCAAATATATCCTTAACGTTTTAAAAATTCCATGGCATACCCATTACTTACCTACCCTGGGTGTTGATCATGTATGAATTATATTTGCCCATTGAATTTTGCTTAAACAAAGAAATTCAAAAATATAAAATGGAAGGTATATATATATATATATGCGGTTGGCTTTTACGCACGAAAGGTATTTATTTTTCTCATTACCTACAATATTTCTCGGATAAACCATCGTAGGTCTTAATCCAGTCCAAAGAAGTATTAATTTGTTTTGTTTGATTAATGGAAATCTTTGAACCCTAAAAGAACTTAAAAAAAAATAAAGGGTAAATTTTAATTTATCCCTCTAAAATTTTTGTGTTTGCTCAATTTCATGTAAAACTTTTTATTTATTTCAATTAGACACTATTTTTTTTTATTCAATCAGCTCATGTATTTTGTTTTACTTTTGTTTCAAATTTTCTCCTATGATTATTTTCGTCAAGTATTTAAATTTAAATTTTATTTTTAAAGTTTATAAAAAATCTTAATATCATCTAAAAATTAAAAATTTAAACATAGATAATGAAGAAGACAACAATCAAATTGTTGCAAATTAGGTTCAAGACATATATATAAGTAATGGGTTTTTCTTTCATATATAAACTATGTGCTCTTCAAATTTTTTGATTGAAACATTCTGTTTTTTTTTTTTACTTGATTAAAATATTTTATTTTTTATTTAATTTTGCTTGAGAACTTCTGTTATGATGCAATTTATTTTTAATCCAATATCATATGTTATCATCAGACTCTACTTATCAGTAATTGACACATGATATTGTGGGTCTCGCACCCATTTAAATTAGAAAAAAAACCCATTAAAAACTAATTTAAACATAAAAAAGGGCAAAAGAAAAAGTAGATGAAAAGACCAATACCCCTACCCCCGATTATTTTACAACCCAATTCAGAAAATATCCTTTTCTCTATCTTCTTCTTCTCGAGCACCTCTGTTAAAACTACTAGCAAGGTCGCGAAAAACGTCACTCTTTCTTGTAAAATTCACTCTTTAAAAGAAAGAAGGATCTAGTTGCCAGAAATGACTTTTTAACGATTTTGTCCGAGGTTTGAAATAAATTTTACAAGTACAAGCTAATAAATTTTCCCAAGCGTTTTATGAATTTTGTCCGAGGTTTGAAATACAAGATAATAAACATAAAAATGTGGGCAAATGAGGGCTTAAACATAAAAATCAAATAAATAAATTCAATTAAGGTTAGGGATTTTTTACCAATTTTTTTTATCCCTTGTCTACATTAGATTCGAATGAAACATTATAACCAACTTTACATCATAACTTGATTAATTATTTTACATCATTATTTGATTAACGATTTGGGTTTCAATGAGTGAGATTATATTTTTATATTTAGGTTTCCCTTCTCACATTAAAGAGAGACAACAGGGTAAAAGATAAAAAGAAAACATACAAAAGAGAAGAGAAGAGAGAGTTGGGTCAAAGACAACTTGACAAGTAATTTTATCTTTCCATTTTTCATTTAACAAAACCAGAAAACCACCTTACAAGGATGTAAGGGTAATAATAAAAAAGGTGAAGAAGGTAAGCCGTATCGTTCTGAAATTCAGGACATTCATAAGTAATTTACCTTTACTATTATGTGCCTCAATTTTAACTTCCAACTATTTAAGTGAACTTTTCTTTTCTATTCCAGTGTCAGCACTTTACATGTCCATTGTCTTACGAAACTCGTAAAATAAAAGAGAGAATTGCATATTCAATGTCTTTTTTTTTTTTCTATTTAAACATCTTACCTTTATTTTTATCTATTTGAGATACTAACCATTTAATTAATTAATTTTTTTTTCTACGTGCCTATTGTTAATTCAATCTCTTACAAGTGGTGAAAAATGAGCCTCAGCAAAAAAAAAAAAAAAAAAAAATTATGACAAGGGAAAAGGTAAAAGAAAGCAGAAACCAAAATTCAATATCTGAACCTAAAACATCTTCATCTTAAAATTACAATTAAATTCACGCCAATATCAAACCCACACTTAAATCTTGAAAATACAATTCAATCCACAAACCACTACTATTAACCACCATGAACAAGGAATACTTTAAAGGGTCTTTCTTCGATCAGACTGACCCTAATTTCCTCAAAATCATTGATTAAATATAAGAGTTTCAATATATATAGTTGGAGTCTATTCACTTGCATGGATGGGAAATGCAAAATTTTTCCCAGTTCACAAGGACTATTTTTATGCTGTTGTCTATTTCTTCCCTTCTGTTGACAGCAGGTCTGGTATGGACACTAAACACAAGCAATTTAGTATCGGTGACATGATGACCAGTCTTACAAGATACATGCTGAGAATTTGAAATCCTAGAAGATGATTTGATTTCATTCCAGGAAATGAAAAAGAAAAAAAAAACGAATAAGAAAATTAGTTTGGATCAACAGCAGCAAACAGAGAACAAGACATGTAAGCAGGGACAAGTCGTTTCGCTGAAAGCAAGGAATCATAAAGAGGAGAAAGGAAATGTTTAGGCTGAATTGCCAGGCATGTTGCTCTGGTTCAGATGGTCTGAACAATGAGATCATGATCAGCATGGAATGTGCCCCTATAGGCATCATGTGCAACAACAATTGGCAAAAGATGCAAGCATACCTAGTTGCTCATGACTATGTTTGAGGTTTGTCTTCATCCAACAATAGCTGAATCATAGATTTGACGACCTCATTATCCACAAGACTTGCATCCTGTAAGACAATGTTATTTATAACGAGACGAGCAGATGCAGATGCAGGGTAGTCGTTTAAAAAATAAAAAAGTAACTGATCTAAGCAATAATCAATAGGCATCATAGTTGAATAATACAAGGTGTTCCCAAGCAGTTAATCAAGACAAGAGTGCTCGCAGCATCCATGTATGTGACATGCATGTATGGCACTATAGACTTGGCATGACATATATCCTGAGGCAGTTTTTGCTATTTTCTGGTTAAGTATGGAGTTGTTAGGATTATTAGGTGACTCATTATTCCAAATTATACCTGATAGTTCTACTGTTCTTTTGAACTATTCTCATTTTTTCCTTGCTTAGTCCTTTTTTTTTTTTTTTTTTTTTGTGCTTCACGTGTATCCTCCTAGCATACTTCGTACTGACTTGGTTGTACCACCCTTAATGGATTTTTCTTTTTCTGTGCTTCTGTAAAAATATTGGCCACTAATCTACAATGGCTACAAAACACTGGTTACTGACTGGCAGCCTAAATGGTGTACTGGTATTATGTATATGTTACCACAATTGATAGGACGCAACGATTATTTCAGGGACAAAACAGACAGTTATTGGAAAGCAACCAGTTAAATTTTTCAATTTGAACTTTGAAGAACTCAATTCTTCGATCTTTCAGTAATCAAGTAATCCTGTGCATTTCTTTGGATGGAAGAAATTGTTTTAAAAGCTTTCTAGTAATTGACCTTAGAAACGTATCCCCAAAGCAAATTCATCATTGCAAATAATAATGCACAAGGCCAATTTATGAGGGATAGCTCCACTGAGACAAACCATTCAACATCGATAGGCAGGATGCATGTTAGCCACCCAGAAATAAAAGCAATGGATTGCATGTATGTCACAGGCCTCATACTCATTGAGCAACCCCTCAATGCCCAATAGACAAAGGACATTAACATATTGGGCAGATGACAGTCCATTTACTGAGTTAAACACCATCAGCATTAAAAAATATGCCATTTAGAGATTTTACGACAAACTTAACAATGCAGAAAGATACCTCTGGCTTTCGAATCAGCTCCTTCAATAAAGCATGAAGTGTTGATCGGAGTTCTTTAAATAGGACAGCATATTGGGCTGGAGCTGTCAGCTTTAGCCATCCATCTATAGTGAGAAGTCCAGTCTAAAAGCACAGAAAAAAAAAGTCAATCAAGAAGGAAGAATATCAAAACACAAATAAGTAGCATCCCGATCAAACAGCTGATGAAGGAGATGAGCGAAAAAGGGAGTCTACCAGACAGGATTCAACTAGTGGAGGCTCTTGGAACAGCACATCATATTAGCTAAAAGCAGCACCATATT